TTTTTTTTTCTTTTTTTTCTTTCACCACAGTTTGTCTCTTATTTGAATCATTGGAAGTATTCATTCTTGGTTTTTTTTTCAATTCATAGGTTTCCACTTGTCAAAGACCACACACGGTATGTCCAATTAAAAAATAAAATATGCGGGAACCAAAGTTTCGWGCAGGAACCAGGAACTAATTTGCCAACAAAGGTCCTTTGAAGTTCCGAAATTGAAATTGGATTTAGGAACTTCCGTGAGGTCCAATATCTTCATCGGGGAGAAGTAATGTAAAATATAATGGGTAAAAGAAGTTCCAATCATGTTTACTATTCTTAAAATAAGAAGGGGRAAAAAAAACCGATAATTGAAATGCGGTTCAAACGACAAATAATTGAGTTGTTTATCGTTAATTTATTACTTTGTACTGGAAATCCAATTTATAGATTTTTGACCTGATTAGTTTCAAAATAGTATAGCATAGTTTATTTTAAGTAACTGGCGTTACATATTAAAAGCGCTTGCGCTAATTAACCCACYGAACACTTCCATCATTTATAACAAACGTGGGTACGTTAAGAGAATAAAAAATATTTCTGAGTCCTATTTGAGGACAATTAAAGCAAAATTGGTTTATTGTGCTAATAGTCGTGACTATAGTTTTCTCGTGAACGTTTTACAACCTACGAGTCTTCAAAAATAAACTATAATAAGATAATGTGAAGTATTAAATCAATGAGAAAACTAATCAGAAAAWCTCGGCAAACTAGTTTACGTTACGGTTGTATGAGCTTATTTCACATACTGAACATCGAAATCGAGGACGACCAGCAGTTTGAACTGCGGGGGCACATAATCGAAGAAGTCATTACTGAGCATGCGTATTATCGAGAATTGATAATGGCATTTTAGTACAGGATACGGAATTTGCACAGCAAAAGCTACTTTTCTTGAAGGAAAAGAATTTACGTACTTAAGACATGGACTTTGTATGCAAACCTTTGGTGGTTACGTGTAATCTAGAGGTGGAATATCCGACATTTTTTAATGATTTTGCGACCGAAATCTGTGTGTACAGCAGTCTTCTCATACTCGTACCCAGGTCTTTGTAATAACAATCCGTTTTTTCAAAATGGCGACAGAATTATTAAGTTCAACGATGTTTTCTGTGTTTTATTCTCATGATCCATCTGCTGAGTGTCAAAATTTCAGTCAATTGGTAAGTGCAAATTATAGGGAAATTACTATAGATTTAGAACTCATTTTAACTGTCTATTTATTGCATTTGAAATAGCGAATAGCCAAGGCGAACATAGCTTTCTTACTTTCGCATTTATTAATATYAAAAGGGTCTAAAAGAATGAAGAAAAGATGAAAGTTCAAGTAAAATAATAAAATAGACGTCTAAAGTAGACTTTTAATAAGTGAAATGTAATAAGTCCAATTGTAACGTATATGAGCCAGACGATAGCTAATGCACTAGTCAAAATAAACCCCCACACCCCCACCCCCCACCCCACCCCAACCGGGGACAGGGTGGAGATTGATTGGTTGGGCATTTGAAAAATGAGATAGGCAAATGTTGGAACATGCCCCACCTAGAGGAGCATGATAATACACTAAAGTCCCCACCCTATAAAGCAAAATATTTCTTGCATATTACACTGAAACTACTCCAACCAAGGCACCCGAACAAATTTTCTACAAAATAGCCAATCAAAAGTGGGAGTCTACTGCCGGCACCTTTAGTGTCGAATATAAACGTGCTGTCGTATAGCAACACGGCGAGAAAATCTCATAGTGTCAGCCTGATTATATCATAGTCTGGAAGAAACAAACTGTAATCATAAAGACTAGGTGTTTTATACGGTTTCTAATTTGCTTTTCTGTCGTATTTGAAGTCAAACATTATTATTTTTCTCATCTTTGGTGACACAAATCACTAATTTGCGAAGAAAATATATAACAAGCTCTTGTTCATCATTTAGTTTTACCAACCGGAACAACGAAAGAAATTTCAATTCAAAATTTGCCGCTAATCTATTGTCTAAACACTATTGGATAATTTGTAGAAAATTTGTCGAGGTGGCCTTGGTTGGAGTAGTCGCACTGTAAGTTAACAATTTTAAATCTATATTCTATAACCTTTAAGAAAATGTATGCTTTATACCAGAAATATACTTAATGCTTGCAAGTTCTAATATATATATTAAGGCACTGCCTAAACGMGGAGCTCCAGATACGGGAGTMACAGGGAGAACAATTTGAATGAAACTGAAAGGTAAAAATAAGATCGGGGAAAAAATCTTCAATTATTTTTTATTTGAGATGAAGATAATTTCTCCCATAATAARAACCATGCAGTGAATCGAATCGAAATGCACTAGCTACATCGTTTTCTTTACGTCAGTATACTCTCCCGCTTAGGAATTTTGTACACAACTCACCACCACCCCCAGGGGATAGTTTTGTTCTTGGAAGATTCTTCGACAAAGTTTTCCAAGGCCGACAGTTTTAGGATTTGAATCTCTTTTATTTAAAAAAACAAAAAACAACAACAACAACAACAACAACAACAAAAGATAACTTAAGATAATCCAATGCAATATCATGTTTAGTGAAATTCACCTCGGATGTTTTTCATTGAAATCGAAAATCTGGAGATTTAGGACAATTTAAGACTAAAAAACAGACTTGAAAACTGGTTAAGGTGAGCAAAAAAAAAAAGCTTACTATTACATCTTTTACAGAACGAGACGAAGTTTATATTCAGTTACGTTAAACTTGACAAGAACAACTGACACAAAATAGAAAATAATGCAAAAGGCAATGCAAAATACAAAATGACGAATTTCTTCGTCAGCAAATTTGCGTTTGTAAATGTTTTTGAATATTTTTTAGCTTTTTACTGAAAGTGAAAGTCTAGGTCTTTATGCAATACTATAACATCTCTCAACAACACAAATTTAAGCTTATTTTTATAATCATACTTACTCGAACAGCTTAACAAACAGTTGAATATTTGGTGTAAAGTTATATTTCATTCAATAATTAGATAAATTATCTGTAGAAAGATATAAAATTAATGAATGAAAGTCTTCTTTGTTTTGCCGATGGGACCCCGCGATAGGAGGCGTACAAAGCTGCATTTTTTCTTGAACGAAAAACATGCGATAGTTGGTTAAAAACAACCGAATTGTTCGAGATTCACAAAGCTAAATAAAGGACGAATATTTGTTGTCGTCATATGCCCTCCGTGTTATATTTCTAACCTTATCTATAGAAAAATATAAAGTTTTGAGAGAAAGTCGTTGATTTGTCGATTCGTAGAGAAAAGTGCTTGTAAAAAAAAATAATAAACACGATTGTTTGTTAWAAAACACACACCTGAATTCTATAATAATAACCCAAATAACTATATACAAAGTAAAAATATAAAGGRAAATAYATAGGGAAATATAAGGCCATCTTACCAGTTTGATTGGACATGACTGTGGGCATTTACATCGAGTAAACTACTTTGAATCCATAATAAAAGCTAATATCCACAAGTACGTATATGTCAACTCTTTTTTTTTTTTTTTTTTTTTCTTTTTTGAAATAGAGCATACCAGAAAAAGAAGATGTTAAAAGAAATTCATATTAAAGCACATGTATAGACCGTACCTAAACAATTAGACCCAAAGTCCCAATGGTTCGACTCTTTTTAGTCTAGACCTACTAATCAGTCATGAATCGGCTATTACAAACAATGTGAAAATTAATTTGAAAATGCGAGCTACCCGCCATCGTTTTGGTATTGGATGAGATACCATTAGTCTCAAGGGCAGATCCAGACAAAATTTTAGGGACGGGGGGGCTAGAGGTCAAAGGTTTCCCGCTACAGACTACCATACAGGGGATCCCAAGTAATAAAAAGTAGTGAATCGGGGAATGCTGTCCGTTCCCTGACTGACTTTTTGCGAAAATGTTTTATTTTAACAAAATTTGATAGTTTTGGTTTTCTATTCAAACACATACTTTGATATATAGCAACCTTCGCAATAAAAAATTATTCAGTTTTGTTTCGCTTTTTTTTCTGCTGAAGTGGGGGCTTCAGCAACCCTTTGCCCCCTCCCTCCCAGGATCCGCCCTTGAGTCTTCAGGATAGAGCTTACTAGTAGTGAGAAGAACTKGTGCCGGCTTTAATTGAAAAACAAAACAATTGAATTTACTTTATTCGAAACCTGTTTTCATCTATATATTTGATCAACAACTTGGATTTGACAATGGATGGATCAGTAGCCCATTTGGGCTCGAGGACTAATTGCTAAGCCTTGGGTAGCGGCRCTAAGCGATGCATGCTAAAGGGCGTTACGCGGGCTAATTACCAGTAATCTYGTCATCGCGTCGAAATAGGATTCGCAGTTAAAGAACATCCTGATTAAAGTGGCTGACYACTTTATCGAAAAGGAATAAGGAAAAACATTAATTAATTATTACACACGTCTGATGTTAGATTTGCATTGATTGACACGTAATTGTATATGACGATTGCATAATAATAAACACAATACACCACATCTGATTAGTCTTCGAGATCGCGGTAGCCCTTGCTGCAAGGGAATGTTTTGGCAGTCTTGTTTTTATTTACAGCCCATTCCATGTTTCTGCGACATAACCGATTCCGGAATTTTGGAGTCGTTTGACGTATTGGCTACTGCCAATCAAATTAACAAGGGGCAGAGTGCCTTCTTATCGCAATCGATAAATATTCCCATGATTCGACAAYCATTTTCCTATGTGAAAATCTTTATCACTCGCGATCGAAATGTAAGCACTCGACCCGTGGTAAATTTGATTGGCGGTAGTCAAAACCCCAAATKACTCCAAWCCTCTTAAAATACTTATTACTTAARGTACAMTCCATYAACTATACCCTCAAAGAATATTTTTTCCAGGAGGAAAGGGGAGTTTCTGTTGTTTCCGGCCTCGCATTTCAGAACAGTGTTGTTTCCATTGTGACGTCACMTAACCGATGGATTGCTTCAGAATTCTCGCTCTTGTTGATATCGGTAAAACGCAAAAGCAGTTGGAAAATGGGSCAAAAGAACGARTAAGTTGCAGATTGAAACGCATTTAAGTGCTAAATCCGCCTCCTATGYAATAGTTTCATAGTCTTGTGTAATCTGATTTGTATTTTCATCTAACCATTCGTTGATTTTTGATTTTATTTAACGGGCGATGCGACGTTTTGACGATACGCCATTTTTGACACGGGTCGGCAAAATGTCTGTTATTTAGGTAATATTTTTCGRTAACAAGACAGAATTGTTAATCCACACTAGAWARTTTGATTAAATRATAATTTGGCWTTACGAATCTKTGTYAGTTTTGTGATCTGTTTTTCTTTCGAACCTCATATCAATCCTCTTGAATGAGTTAGATCAGAAGTCAACTTTCTCCATTTATATCGGCGTTGAATGCGCTGATATTAAACTCAGTTCCTTTAAATGATAAATACGGCTGTTCGTGTTCTCTAAATGTAGAATAAAAATCCAGTTGCATTTATATTTCATAGACATATTTTTTACAATTTGGTTTTGGACAATTTGGGTTTTTTTATTTTAAGCAATTTTACTTCGATAATTAGGTAATTTGAGTTTTAGTTGAGTTTGTTCAACGGGAGAACCTACATAGCACTCAGCTGATGTAATGTATTCACAAAATAGATCGCATTCTATTGTCGTTCTAGCATTATTTTTGGTGTGATTCATTGTATTTTTATGAATACACTACAGCAACTGCTTTCTGCGGCTCGACACTGGTACCTCGCTTCTTGAAAACTTGCGTCTCGGTAAATTTTCCCCGATATTCACTTTGTCTTCGGCAAATAATTGTGAAATAAGTAAAATTTGTGTTGAATGCTAAATCAAAGCAGAAAATCGTCGTAATGAGAATATTTCAACCCTTTTATCCAACATCTATCTATCTTAGTCAAAACAACAGAGAGTCATTTAGTGAATGGTATTTTTACTCCTTTAATTTCGTATCTATAAATAGGGGTGTTCCCCAAGGGAAAATTTAGATCCCTCTCTCTCCCTCGCCYYYAAGCCCCACRCGGCCGATGGCACCCGSGTAATGATATCAATTCATTTTGGTTGAATACGCTGACGACATAACATAAGTACCGGGATTGGTATTAATGATTGCTCTAGGCAGAAAGTAGACTTCATTAAGGAGTGGGCTTAAAATAATTTAATGAATATCAATTTATCTAAGACTAAGGAACTTGTTTTCAAGGGTAAGGTTGTGGCACCTATTCCTAATCCCATACAGGATATCGAACAAGTAGCACATATGAAACTGTGTAAGGTGTATATTTACAATAATAACCCTACCAAGTGGGGCATGCAATTTGATAACTTACTTAAAAAGGTGGGGCAACGAATTTATATATAAGGATCTGTTCGAAATGATCATTCCGCCATAAGGACAGCTTTACGTATTTAAGCTCAATATTTTGTAAACAMGTTCTTTTGGAGCCAAATAGCAAAATATCAAATGCGACCAAAATTTAGTGAATGCGTATTTGAGATATAAAGCCGTGTACTTTGGGAGAGGGGATATTTTGATCAGCAGAAAAACTGACATTTTCGTGAATACTAATAAGTAGATTTACTTTAATTCGACAAAATTTGTTACAAGTTTCGAGCAGCAGTGACACAAATTTGGAGTATTAAACTCAGTTAAATAAATAAATAAAAAATCGTGAAGGTAGCGGGCTTTTCGTTTTTCTGCCCTGTCGCCTCTATCACCTTTTTTCAATCTATCATTATTTCTTTCTTTACCAATGTCATTTAGGATAACAGAAACGACAGATTGTCAATTTTAAAACTTGGCATTATTTTGAAAATCAGAAAGAGGGAACGTGACGTGACGAATGGAAACAACACTGTTCCAGCCATTAATGTACGTCCTCTCTTTCCTGGTTTGTACAAAAAAATAAAAATAAAAAACTGCATTGAAACAAAGGGGGAAAAGACGCCCTCCAAAAAAAATTATCGTACTTCGCTTATTATTTTGAATATTTTTTTTTACTCGTTCGTAATATGAAGGACGCGCTATCTTRATTTCCAATTTAGAATATTTAATAATTAAAATCGGTCTTTTTCTGATTTTATTATCGCCTTTCACTTTTATTTAAAGTGGTCTCTCTGGGGGTCTTTAGCAAGCTCTTATTTCCCTACACGAATTTTTTTGCAGAAAAAATAATCTACGTCGAGTGAAAGCAAAAAAGAGTTTTTTTTAATGAAGTTGAATCCCCCATTATAGGTACCGTCTTGATCAACTATTTTCGAGAGTTCGGAGTTTAAATGACTGTGAAACCGGTGGTTGAAAGTGTTTTGGAGTGTATATTATGTTTTGTACTCAGTTAATTGATTTTTTTCACTTGTGTGTATTGAGTATATTACTATCTTGTGTCCTCCAATAAGAAACATTAACTAAAATCGATTTTTTTTCCGATTTTCTTTTTACTTATCAATTTTATCTAAATCGGGCTCTCGCCGTGATATCAATTGAATCAAACGACAAGACCAGCATCATTATTGATATATGAATGATGAACAAGTGATCCAGCAAGAAATAAAATTAAGCTTATACAGCAAACAAAACTATCCGTTTTAGGCCTGCCAACTCTTCATGAACTACAATTTGTGCTCGATACAACGAAACTTAATAGATTCCTTCGATACAAACAACTCYTAGTTGACTTTAAATATTCTAAATGTATGATAACTAACACGTACCTGAGCGTTTCAAAGACTTATAACAATTAACAAGCTTCAGATAAGTTTTCCGTGCACGGATTCGCTAAGATAAATCATTTAGAGTAGGCAACGGTACAGAAGAGAGAGAGAGGGAGAGAGGGAGAGAGGGAGAGAGGGAGAGAGAGAGAGGGAAAGAGAAAAGAGAAAAGAGAAAAGAGAAAAGAGAAAA